CGGCTTTGCGCCGTTGCACGCTCGGCCCCCGGACGGGCGACCTCTTCCAAGAGAACTCCTCTCTATAGTGATTAGAGAGTCGAGTAACAACCCTCAATGCCGCTGAAAGGTCAACCCAGACTTTACCAGACAACCTCTTTTTTCCGTAGTCGGACAACTACGGAAATAATATTTTACCAACCACGGAAAAGTCCGTCTAATTTTACTTAGCCGAGAATAGGCTATAGTGACTGTCCCATAGTTATGGGACATGAGGATTATCCGGGCAATGGGGTATACCCCGAGGCCCGATACCTGCATTGCACCTAGGTGCATGTAGACGACATTCAACATTTGTCATTCAGTTATACAACACTAGAGGAGCAAACCACATTGCCGCGCGTCAAAAAAAGTGTAACCACTATCCAAACGCGAAGGCGTAGCTTTGGAACTAATAACAATTTTAAATAAACATATATCTATCTCACTTACACAAGTTGCGAAAACAATATCGTGTAGCATACTATATGAAATTTTACCTAAAATACGCAATAAAATGAGTTTTTTAAACTGCAGTTAATTGTTTTTATATTAATAAAGTATATTTTATTTCAAAATCCTTATTGCGTCCGCTTAGAAAAAAAAGGATACAAAGCTTATCAGATGAATAGAAGTAAACATAATGATGAAATAAAACATATTTTTAGAAGTATTTTTATTGTACTAATATACGAGTATCAAACAATATAAAATATGTAGGTAATAAAATATTATTAATTCAAAATTTATATGAAATCATAATTAATATGAAATTATTAATATAAAATAGATAATAAAATATATTTAATAAATAATTCATGAATAAACTAAAATAATAATAATTAATTATTTTCTATGAAAGTTAAAACGTAGTTTTTATTATAATTTCCAAAATATATAAAATCAGAGGTAACAAATTAACTTACTCCAATAATTATATAGTCTCCCATTAATATAGGATAATCACAAATGCGGAAAAGTGGCAACATTGAACCTAAATGGCAATATTCGAAAATTTTATTTAATTATTTGAGGATTTTTACGTATATGTGAAAACAAAAACTAACAATAATGTATTGAAAGTGATTCCGCTTGATTTATTTCGTTTTTGTGACCTTGAATAGCATTCTTTCATTACGCAATTATCCATTTTTTGCCGCGACTCAACTCTGTCGGCGTCACATTGAACCTACGATCAACATTGTGATCGAAGCATTGAACACTGAATTGACGTTAGCTATAGCTAGGCATATGGCTGTGACCACATTATGTGCAGTGGCAACGCTTTGGCGCGGTTATTACTGATCTAGTGTAATATATAAATCAATGACATTTGTGCCAAAACATACACTGGGGCACCTGTGCTGCGCAGATGGTTTGTGTCCGCCGTTACCGGATTTTGGTCTGGAAGACATTATTATTATTATTCAATAAGTTAGAGTTTCTAAAAATTTTACAGTACGCGATCGAAATGGGTTCGATTCCCGCCGGTGAAATTGAGGTGACCAACGAACCTACAGTTCACTTGTTCGTAAGTGGTTACCACAACCCATAGACTTGCAATAATCTTCATATAAAGAGGGCTATAGATGCTTTATTATAGAATAAGTGTGACAAACGAGCACACAGTCCACCTGATGATAAGTGGATGCTATAACCCATAGACATCTACATTTATCCCCGATTAAGAATCAAAATACAGATGCGTTGTGTCCCCTGAGAAAGAAGATGAAATGCCTCGTTTCCAGTAAAAAAGGGTCGCTGGATCTCTACACTCACCACACGAAAAACAATAAGTAATAATAAGCTGCTATTTTTCGCTGGTAGGTATTCTGTAAGAGCGTGGTCCTTCCCCGGTGAAGCCGACCCACTCGTGCTACAACCACAATATAGCTGCAGCGTGGCTCTACCACGTATCAAAATGCTTCTTAGCTTCTGTAAACTGCGGTTTAATGCTTATTTATATCTTATGTATAAAATAAATTGATGTCCGTTAGTATCGCAAAATTCGAAAATGGCTCAACCGATTTTGATGTTTTTTTTGTGTTTTTGAGTGGATTATCTAAACAATTCCCAACTGGCCCCGGTAGATGGCGCTGTTGTCGAGATACAGAAATCACCCGTGCGAAGCCGGGCCGGATCGCAAGTAAACTATAACTCTGTGACCTGGTGCTAAAAAGGCCTAAGTACTTATGTTTTTATTAAACAGTACAATAGGTACTGTACAGTAGCACATATTTTATTTTATTAAACAGTATGGAAGTACATTTTACATTGGCCTTTTTTACATAATATCTTTGGAAAGACTATCAATAAACGTACGCCCTTTTAGCACAAATATAATTTCGTACTTTTTTAATAATATGGCTTTAAAATCTCATTTCTTTAAAAAAAGTACTTTGGCCCTTTTAGCACCAGATCACAGAATTATACTCGCCCACTATACTTTGAGCCGTGGTAGCTCGGATGGTTAACGCTCGCTGTAAATATCACAGAACGCGAGTAACCTGGGTTCGATCCCCGCCAGCACCAATGAAATTGTTAATTGCAATTTTAAGTGCTGATTTACCACTTACTCGGCGGTTAAGGAAAACATCGTGAGGACACCTGCATGCCTGAGGAATAAGAAAAAAATATTTCGAAGATATGTGAAGTTCGGTCAACACGCATTGAGGCAGCGCGACGGACACTTCCTTGCCCTAAAACCCTCCCAGAATTGAGGGGAGGCCCGTGCCCAGCAGTGGGACGTATATAGTTTTTAACTTTAACTTTAACTATACTCTTTAGGTCGTAACCACTGTTGATTAGGGGCAAAAGGTAATCAAAGTGGTGTATCTACTCGTAGCCCGACGCACTAAGGTAGTATAAGACCCAACACCTGGTCGTAAAATGTAGCTCTTTAAAAGGAGATAATTTTCCCTGCTGCTTCAATATTTTTCTGAGCGTAGATATGATTATTCTTAGTAAATCATGAACCTATTACTCTTGAGGAAGTTGTACTTTTTTAAAATATAAACGATAAACAAAATAAGAATCGATAGAACCAGTGTTAGGTTCAAACCCAAGACTTAAACTGCTTGCACTTATCAATGTGTCTATAATACAGCGACATCTATTAAAATTGAAAAACATCAATGAGTAGAATGGTTTTAATTTCATCACACTTTGCAAGATGGTGCTATTCTCGCGTTAGACTTTCATTTGAAATAAATATATTTTTGCGTACGTTACCTATGCTTATATGTTATACGTGGTAGAGCCACACTGCAGCTATTATGGTTATAGCATGAATGGGTCAGCTCAACTGCGGAAAGACCACGCTCTCACAGATTATCAGCGTAAAATAGCAACTTAATACTACTTATTGTGTTTCGTATGGTGAGTGTAGAGATCCGGCGATCCTTTTTTACTGGAAACGAGGCATTTCCATCTTAGTTCTCAGGGGTCACAAGAGCATCTGTATTTTGATTCTTAATCGAGGATAAATGTAGATGTCTATGAGTTATAGCATCCACTTATCATCAGGTGGACTGTGTGCTCGTTTGTCACCATTATTCTATAAAAAAGCATCTATAGCCCTCTTTATATGAAGATTATTGCAAGTCTATGGGTTGTGGTAACCACTTACGATCAAGTGAACTAGAGAACCTTTTTACTGGAATCGATTCATACTATTTTAGTCCTTAAAGTTCACAATGCAATTAATTTGTTATTAATATAAAATATAACTAATAGTTAAGAAAACAAAATAACCTTTTAATTTTTCGAATAAATTAACTTCACCGCTACGAAATCTGTCAAATATTGAACCTCATTATAGGTGGCGCCGCCCTTTTGGCAGAAAAAGTCGAAAACTTTATCTCAAGTGCAAACAATGAGTTGACAATTTTTTATCGAAATCTAGGGAACGGGATGGCAGTTCATAAAATACTAACAAACAAGCATTATTGCGATTATAATGCGAACAATTTTTTTACATTAAATATAATCATTTTGCGTCTGTTAGTGATCGTGTAATTTCTGAATGACTTGAACGGTTGAACGTACTCTCACAATATTATAATTGTTTTGTAAAGACAGTGGTTTATAGTTCAACAAGGATCCCATAGGTGGCGCTGTCATTAAATTATTAACAAATTCTATTTAATGGACTAAAATGGCTCATTCAGAATACATTTTCTTATAGGATAAGGGTGACAAACGAGCACACAGTCCACCTGTTGGTAAGTGGCTGCTCTGGCCCATAGACACCTACATTTAACCTCGATTAAGAATTCCAAAATGCATATGCGTTGTCACCCATGAGACTAAGTAAGATGGAATGCCTCGATTCCAGTTAAACGGGTCTCCGGTTTTCGACACTCATCATACGAAACATAGCAGTATTAAGCTGCTATTTTACGCTGGTATCTGTGAGAGCGTGGTAATAATATAGCTGCAGCGTGGTTCTACCACGTATTAAATATGGTATACTTTGCTTTAGCGCCAAAACAAAAAACAATATCTTGATGTGTTAGGTGTAAAAATCCCGCAGTTAATTCGTAGTGAAATTTCGCGCCACCTACCAGACTGAGCAGATTGCCGTTTGTCAAGTCAGCTAGTCATAATTCATCATTACAGCCCTTCACAAGTCCACTGCTGAACATAGGCCTCCCCCAAGTAATGCCATAAAGCACGGTCCTGAGCCACCTGCATCCATCGACTTCCTGCGTGTCTTACCAGGTCGTCACTCCATCTAGTGGGGGATGCCACTCGAGAACCTTTCTTCCCCAGCGGTTATCGGTTCTTCGAGCTATATGGCCGGCCCATTGCCACTCAGCTTACTAATCCGTTGGGCTATGTCGTTCACTCTGGTTTTACTGTGGATATCCTCATTTCTGAGTCTATCACGCAGAGGAAAGTCAGCTAGTATTAATATATAATTTATTTTTTAATTCATCCAGGAGCTCAATCTGCAAGACATCAGGCGAGATCTAACAGCGATGCTAGACGACTTCGAGCGGGAACACTGTGCTTCCTGCAGAGCGTTGAAGTGTTGCTGCTCTGATATCAAGCCCACTGCGACCGAACTCACAGACAGCGGACGAATCAGCCAAGCCAGTTGCAAAACTAAAAGCGTAGATTCCAAAGAAGCTCCACTGGCCAAGTCACTTCCAAAACCAAAATGGGATAAGCAGCTTCATGATTCAATATCTACTCCTGAAAGAGAATCAAACGAGGACGTAGAGGCTTGGGTGGAAACGGTTACACCAAGCGCCCCAGCTACAGTGCGAGAAATAAAAAGAAATCTCAACTTATCGGCGACTAGTGGCGGTTTAGCAATCCCCTGCTCCCCGTTGAAGTCAGCTTGGGTTGATGGAGAGACGTCTATGCAAGTAATAGGAACCAAGAATGCCGTGGAAAAGTTCTTCCGCAGTTTCAGAGGCTACTCACCGTATTCACCAGCTCAAACTACTCTATCTTTCATGTCGAGTAGACTAGCCACAACTTTCAAAGTGACTCCGAAGAAATCCTACGAGTATACATATTTCTAATTGAATTTGAAGAAAATTTTTATACGTGGTTAAGCCATACTGCAGTCATATTAGTAGTAGTATACTTGTAGCATAAATGGGTCGGCTCGACCGGGGAAGGACCACGCTCTCACAGAATACCAGCGTAAAATAGTAGCTTAATGCTGCTATGTTTCGTATGGTGAATATAGAAAACCGGAGACCCTTTTTACTGGAAACGAGGCATTACATCTTAGTCCTCACGGGTGACAACACGCATCTGCATTTTGATTTGTAATCGAGGATAGATGTAGATGTCTACTAATCGCAGCAACCACTTACCATCAGGTGGACTGTATGCCCGTTTATCACCCTATCCTATAAAACGACATTATTAACTTTTGTTTTGGAAACAATTTATGATAGAGCTACTACCGTTTACAGCCTATCAATAGTCCACTTGAGAAAATAGGCCTCCTCCATTTTTATTGTCTTTTAAAAAGTTAAGTTATTAGAAAGACGCTGCTGATCATCTCCTGGTTTGTTTTTTTCTATCACGTCCTACGATGATGAGATAATATGTGTTAATGTGTAATCATACACCGCCACTACACTGTCAGTAATTGTAAATCGGTCATTTGTGTGATTATTGAACTTATAACATTTGATTATTTCGGTAACAGAAATATTATGTCCGATGGAAAAACCGCGCTGTGATTGTGGCAACACTGCTACTGCTTCATACTGAATCAGGTGCTTTTCCATTGCTGCGACCCAATGTGTTTATGATTATTGTTTGCTATTACATCTACACTATTACATATTAACATTCCCTATGTAAACAGAAGATTTATTTCTCGTTTTAACTATAGACAAGGTAATAAATTATAGAAACATAAAGTCCTATAATACCTTCGGAAGCGAAAATAAAACCTGCAAACGATAGTAATTATTGAATGGAATTTTTCATACACAATTATAATCTTGTATATCTATATACTTTTAATATTCATATAAAACATACCTCCACACTGTTAAGGTCCTATTTTTCATCCATCAGAATAAATATGTCAGGCAAATAAACCATCATATAACCTTGTTAAATATAAAAATAAAACAGTTCAACAATTTTGTTCGTACAACTGTAGTTTTAATTTTTTATGTTGGTTTTTTAACTTTTGTATAACTTTTATTTGCGGGTTGAAAAATCAACCCTTAAGCTGCTCTTCACTAAGAGATCTTTGAATGAAAATAGATGTTTTTAAGGTATACTTAATCTTTATAATCTAAAACTTAACTTAATTAAGAAAAATTTAAAAACAATGCATAAATAACTTCGTAAAAATAAATTTCATGTCGTTTTAGGGTCATACTCAGAAAAGATGTATATTTGTTATCTTTTCTTGTCCCGCGAACTCATACTTTAATAAATATCTAATTTTATAAATATGATAAAAATAATTCCCCTTTTTTTAGTAAAAGCATACATTTTTGGAGATCATTCTTTTTGTAAAAATGCTATCGAACATTTTTTTAGCGTCCCAGTGACCATTTTACTTTTTCAGAGTCAAGTTGTTACAAATATTAATAAGCTTTATTTAACATGGCTATGGCCATATTACTCCTGCTGAATCAAGCATTTAAACTCGTCCTAATTCATTCGTAAGTCAATAAAAAAATTATTTATTTTGATTAAATTAATAATGTCCCAAAATTAATATGTCGTCATAATACGTCGTTGTGGTGTTTACTTTTTTCTAGCAGTTTTTTTCTTTACTGCAAATAAAACAACGAAGTTAATAAAATCAATTTAATTAATAAATAAGTAAAACTAGTCTAATTTATATTTATTTCAAAATAAGTAGTATTTAAAAAAAAGAAAGAAGAAGAAAGAAGATTATGATAGAAAAATTAAAGGAAGAAAGAAGATTATGATAGAAAAAAAAGTGTTGAAATGGAGGTAAAAAAGAACATCTAATGTTCAGGATATTCAGAAACAAAAATTCATTTCTGAGAGGGGTTTAGGGCAAGAAAGTTTCTGCCGCGCTGCCCCAGTGCGTGTTGGCGAACTTCACGTCTTCGAAATATTTTTTTCCTACACACGATAATATATATTTATTCAAAAATAATAATCATAATTATGCGAGTGACAATGACTCAAATTTTGATAGCTTTTAATAAATTATTGGACTTCATTTTGATCTCGTGAATATTCCTCCGACATCACGTTTCATTTTTTATACTGATTTTTTATACTTTTTTGTATTAGGTTTTTAATGTGAAAAAATTAATATTTGTTAACATTCCATTTATTCCTAGTTTTTTATCTAATTCACCGATGTTAACTTTTTAGAAAATTATAATTTTGGTTAGTCTAAAAAATCAAAGTCAATTAATACAAATAGGACTAATTAAACCAAACAAGTTTTATAATTCATCTATAATATAATAATATATCAATCTATAATTTGTAATTAGTTTAATGTGTACTATACCCTATGAGATTAGTTTCGTTACGAATATTCTCAGTATCGTTACATATCAGTTTAGTTACAAAATTAAAATGTACACTTTTTCTGAGTATGACCCTTTAAAGAAACCAAAAAGTTTGTTTGTTAGTGTTGTATAACTATTGACGGATTTTATTGCGGCATTTTAAAAAATATTACGTAACGCTAAAAGTGAAAGTAAACCTCTTGCTATTACAAACAATTTTTAACACAAGAAAGGATTTCAACCTTAAAACTATTATGAGAGCAACATTCTTTCAGTGAGTGGGTTGTTTATAATATTAAAGTATTATCGTTCTCGTTATCATTCTGATTTTTCAAAAAAATGGAAGGTTCATTATGTCGAAAATTTATTAAATTTTATTAGAAGTAAGAATTATTGTTTCAAAATCTTTTTTTAATTTTAAAAATTTTATTAGAAGTAAATGTCTTATGAAATGTGGTTTGAAGTTACATTTATATTAATGTTATTAATTATAAGGTTAAGATTACAAACGTATACATAATAGTGTACCAATCCTGAAAGTGAAAGAATCAACTATAAGTTCCTGGTATGCATATGGTTTTCTTTTATTCATTGTTTATGTGCATATTCTTTTATATATCGCGTAATCGATAAAATTTAATTCCCTTCAATACTAAGGAGAATATAATTAACGTAACAGGATGACATAAAATCTAAATAATAAAAGAAGATAACAAACATTAGTACCAATAAAAGGAAATGAGGCATTCCATCTTAGTCTTCTAGGGTGACAAAGCATCTCCATTTAGATTTTTAATTGAAGATTGTTCAAGATGTTTATGGCCACAGTATTTACTTACCATCAGATGTACTGTGTGCTCATTTGTCACATCATTTTTACTATAAAAAAATTACTTTATTTAAGCTTGTGACAAAAGTTCGAGCTGTAGTAATTCAATTTAGGACTTAACGCATACCGTTTGGAAGGTTTATAATTTAGATATGATACTTAAGCATGTAGAATATATTAAAAATGAAATAAAGATTAAAAATATATTTAATAATGTATTGCTATTAAAACGCTATAATAAGATTAGTTTTAGATTATTGTACTAGTAACAAACGTTGCCAAATCAAACCATCTTATAATTTAAAACTTATTTTTAATAACATTATTTTATTCAAAATCATGTTACGTCGTTAATTTTTCTTTAGTAATATAATTGAGGATTTTAAGTCTGAAATAAATAATTTATATTTGACTTGTATTTAATATTTCCTTCATGTTAAATATTTAAAATAATAGTGTACAAATTTTGGGTTTTATTTGACTCAATTCTTCTTGTAATAATTGCTTGCAGACCAGTCTTTGGTCGTGGCAGTCAATGCACTGAGACGAGCCATCCACACAGGACATAATTATATAGCACGAGTGTGCAGAAGCGCAGATACAGTCTGTATTCTTTCACTGTGACAGTCCGATGTAACGGCAACGCGACCCCATTGGAGAGAGATCACATGCAAGAACGACGGATTACGTGCCTTCCGAGGAACGTGGGTAAAACACTACCTAATTTCATAATTCTGGATTGCTACTGAATATTTCTTTGATACCAAAACTCTATAATTGAATTATGACCCAAGTCGGGATTCGAAACTGGGACTACATCATCAGCGGTCACGCTTAACCACTAAACCAATTAAAAAAAATCGACGGCGTGTGAAGTCCTCTGAATCTAGGGTTGCCAGATGGGAAATTAAAAATCCTGGATAAATAACCTGATTTCCATATAATAGTTAACAAGCATGAACAATAAATAATTCAATTGGTAATGTGTACGTGGCGATCAATCCAGACCATGGTTTCCTCTCCCCTTCCCCAAAAAACCTTCTGCATCGTATTGAAAATTCGAAGAAAAGCCTGAGATTTCTAAAATCCGACCGCAACCCTAACACGAACCCAGATGTTCTGACATGTCAGAACGAATCTTGACATATGGTATCTCCGGTCACCACGCAGTACTATAGCGCGGTGGAAACTTTCATGTCAAAAATCCTCCAGTAATGAGTCATTACTGGAGGCCTGTGCCCACGCGTGGGATCGCTGCCGACATCAATGAAATTGTTAATTGCAATTTTAAGTGCTGATACACCGCGTGATCGGCGGTGAAGGAAATCATCGTGAAGAACCTGCATATCAGAGAAATAAGACAATAAAATATTTCGTAGAACTGTGAAGTTCGCCAACACGCATTGGGGCTGCGCGGCGGACACTTCCTTGCCCTGAAACCCTCTCAGAAGTGAGGGGAGGCCTGTGTCCAGCAGTGGGACGTATATAGGCTGTAACTTTAACTTGTTTTAACGTTATGTTTTTATTCTAGCTTCGTACTGAAACTTGTTCATTACTTGAATAAAGGCCGGTTGTTTTAATATCTGCATGTGGTAATGAAATAATATTTTTATATTGTAGGATACCAAATGATGGATCGCAGCACGATTGAATGTTTACCTACTAAACCACGATAAAAGCTGTCGATCACAATGAATTTGATTTAATTTGATTTGAC